CATGCTCAAATCTTTTATATAAAGGGATGTAGTATTTGTACACAACTTATGAATATCCTCCCATATACATTAAAACATCTTTATAATACTTATGCCAATGCATAGTAAATGTTATGTAAATAGTCACCATACTATATTTTTGAGGGAATAATGATAAGAAATAAGTCTGTACATGTTCCATGCAGACATAATTTTTTCTCTGAATATTTTTGATCCTCATATGGTTGGATCTGTGGATGTAGAACCTGAGGACGTTGGGGACCAACTGTATATATGGGTGGGTGGTAAAATTTTCTCCCCCACTTCCTCCTGCTGGACAGAGCATATACCTGTCTAAAATAGCAGAAGATGATAACATCCTAATCTAGAGTTGATGTCCATAGGATGGGAGATGTGTGGAATTTCTGATTATTTTTCAGCTGATACACGCAGAGAAGAGCTCAATCCTTTAATTCCTTTCCCTATTTTCTTCTTCAGTTCTTGGTAAAGACTAAAGACTGATAAAGCAGAATTTCAAACTCATAATCCTACAGAGCTGGGCAGGTGATATAAATGAGTGACATGGGCTGGTATGAAAAAAGACAAAGGTAGCAGGCAACCATGCAGATGGCACCTTCCTTTGGCATGAGAGTGCCGTAGACTGAAGAGGCATGTAGTGATAGGAAAGAGCATATTCCATGTAACAGGATAGCCACTACTTGGCCTTAAGTGGGGATTGCTCTCAGGACTACGGGTTCTCTATCTTCAGAGCCTTCATTTTTCTAAGAGAACTTAGAAACAGAAATATATGTGACATCTTGATTTTCAATTATTGACAATTATACTGAATTTAATTGTAGGCCAACCTTCAAGGACTACACAAAATGTTATAGCCTCTAGGTGAAAGGGATTGTGGGGAGGAAGACAATTAGCATTTTATAACTTTTATGATCTGAGTCTCAAGTGAAGGAATAATGTATGTGTACATGAGCAACTTAAAATAAGGCCATCTGAAACAAGGACAGCTTCTCATTGCGATGTATACATGACTTGGCTTACATGTTTGCATTTTAACAACCAACATTTTTCCTCTTACTTTTATAGATTACAGAGTTCAATTTCGTGCTGACTTTAGTTTTGTATGAAAGGTATAATGCATCGATGTAAATAAGAGGACAAAGAAATTATCTAAATGCTTCATTTATTTATTTGGGGGGCACAAATATTTCTGCACCTCTTGGACTCTTCTTGCTGCAAAAAATTAGAGCTAGTGATACATTTGTTAATAGCATTTTAGAAATGTGCTTTGGTGCATAGAGGTAATGTACTTCTTTGGTATGTTAATAATAAATTAAAGTTACAATGGTTGCCATATTAGAGAAAATGAGTAGATTAGTCTGTTTAAAAATTAGTTGGGAAGTAGATAAGCTAGAAATATCAAAGCTCGACAATTTAGCTTTAGACAGCACTCCGCTATGTTCAAGTTTTGATGACTAATGTTCAATTACAGAGTATAATATCTTGCAGAGCACCTGACATGTACAGGTTCAGCATCCTTAATCCAAAAATTCAAAATCCAAAATGCTCCAAAATTTGAGCATCAATATGACACTCCCAAGTGGAAAATTCTATAGCGTGAACCTTAATTTCAATTGTAAAACAATTAAAAATATTGTATAAAATTTCCTTCAACCTACAAGGTGTACATGAAACATAAATGAATTTCATGTTTAGACTCAGAGCTCATTCCCAAGATATCTCTTTATGTATATGCAACTATTTCTAAATCTAAAAAGATCCAAAATCTGCAAATACTTCTGATCCAAATATTTTAGAATAAGGATACTTGACCTGTAGTAGATATTTGGCAAGCATTTTGTTAAATTTTATTACTTTTTGACACAGAAATTTTCCTCAGTAATAGTTTCTGTAGCTCAGGTAAAACTAGAATTTTCTAAAAGTATTTTTGTTGTTTCTTATAGAAGTCTATTTTAGAGAAAACAGCAGCAACAGAAAGAAAAGGAAGTGTGTTTATGTTCTAAAAAGTGATTGCAACCCAACTGACTCAGAGAAGAATACCTGTCTGTTTTTAGTCCTGCTATAATACCTGGCCCGTCTGTTTATAGTCCCTGCTGGCTATGGTAGTGTTAGTAATGCCAGCCTCCTCCTAGTGCTCTGTTTATAATGGTTTTTCAGAGATTAGGTCTCAAGTCATGGGAATTTCCATGGCTTCTTCTTCCTTCTTTTATTTGTGCCTGGCTTAGAATGACATGCCAGGTCATATCGGTGTTTCCTTTTTAGAGCTCAAAAAGAATGTAGGCCATGGGTCTAGCCTGGTCTCAGTGACCCTGCTACTTGCTCTTCCACCCCATCTCAGCCAGCCTGAAGACCCATTTACAGATGTGTGCTGATGAGCTGTTGTAGGTTCTTGGGCTCTGAAAGCTCCTTTCTCCCACTGGGATAATATTAGGACATAGCCAGGCTAGAAAGGCTATGGGAGGATTTGGAGGTAGGAGAACAGGATCCAGAAAGGAGTGAAGGGAAAAGAGGGCTTCCTTTGGAGAACTCCATTGTCCAAAGAAAGCTCTGAGCTGATCCCTGTTAGGAACTGATGGTGAATTTTCTTCTTTTGTTCTTTGGCTCTTTTTGTTTCCCCACCTAGAGCCCAGATATGGATCAGGAAAGAAACCAGCCTCAGGTGTTCCTCCTCACTTCTTGTCTAAACTTCAGCTTCCAGGCATCGCACTGTAGTTTTGGGTGGACTCTTGGGCTCTTCTGCGTTTTTATCAGTTTTCTTTGATTCCTCATTAGGGTTGCCATCATCAGCCTTGTCTTCCTTTACTACTTTGGTTTCAATCATTTCCTTCTGCTGATTTTTGTTTGTAAAAGGGAAGGGCTTCACATACCTGTAAACAGAAACATAAAATTATTAAACCACACTTTAAAATAATTGCACCCATGTTTATCAAGAAAAAAATGTAAAATTAAAGGGAGACACTTGTACGTAACACACTGCAGCAGGTAATGCTTTGTGTGCAATGGCATAGACTAGCACAGTTGCCTGGGTACCTTTACTTCAGAGTGATGCTAACATGCTCACTCCAATATACTGACACCTTCCCACCTGAATCAACTCATTTACATTAGATAGTAGGTTCACAGGCCCAACTTTAGGCTGACCTCCCTTACAACTCTCCCATTAAAAACCCAGAACCACAAATCAAATGTAGCACATAATTTTTCTGTACATGTCAACTTTTCCTTTTTATTCCTTGACTTTCAAAGGGCTACTCACTGGCAGATATATACACCCTGGATGACATTCTCATGTTGACAAGCTGGGAGGAGAAGTGGAGTGAGGGAGAGATGTTACAGCATGGGATGATGAGTGCCATCTCCATTTTGGCTCACAAAATGCCAACAACAACAACAACACTGGGAAAACATGAGACAGGGATGTGCCAAAGATGACAAGACTGGCAATGTGCCAACAATCCCACCTTTTGACATAGCAGACCGCCAGACCAGCTGCAGCACTGAAGAAGAGCAGAGCAAGCACTAGCAGAGCCGTGGGGACACCTGAAGAAACAGACACGTGTGTTGGTCCTTCATTTACATTCTGTGTGTCTATGCATTTAAAGACTCAGCTGTACAGTCACGCAAACAACAGACCATTCAGGAGAAAAGCCTTTCTTCTGACAATTTGTGATGCTGGACTCTCAGCAGCTTCTTTGCTTCTTGCTTATAGAATCTTTGACCCTGTCTCTAGTGCTCTCTAGTCTACATTGGTGCACTATGAAAAGTAGAGTTCATTTCCTGTGACCTTGAGGCCCAATCTAGGAAAGTCGACCCGAGAGACAGAGGCCTGGAATAAAGTTATGGGCATTTAAGGTATATTTCTTTGTATATATGATAACACTAATTTATTTTTAAAGGTCTTGGGTTTTTAAATGCAAAGTTCTTTTATATTCACAATGTTGTGGCTTGATCATTAAGGTTCTTTACAACTCTCAAGTTCTATGATTTCATTAAATTTGAGTTTGTGTTAAGTTTTTATTTGTACCTGGCAGGTACTAAGTATCCAATCTGGAGACACGCTGAATGCTATGTACAGAGCATTTTGCATAAATGCACATAACATAGACATAGAAAGCATTTACCTCCAAACCCAGGAGCTTCATTCTTGAATGCTGCTCCACTTTGAGTGGATGATACCGTTTCTGTCGGCATGGAGCTAGTTTCCGTATAAACTTCTGTGATGCAAATCAATTTTTTCTTCCGTGAAGAAGAAGTGGCAGCTCGAGCAGGAGTGGTAGTGGGAGCAGCGGTTGTAGAGTACAGGGCTGATGCTGAGAAGGTGCTGTCACTGACAGGAAGCTCTACAGTGTAGGTTTCAGGTTCATAGTCTAATAGGGGATCAACGGTGGTGATAATTTCTGGAACGCATGAGTTCACCCAAACATCTGTCAGGAGAGTTTAAAACAAAACAAGAAATAAGTATTGTAATAGCCTCCTGTTTTATCACCCCTTCTCTAGCATCTTGTGATGTCCATCTCTATGGCATAGTTTATGAGGCCTTTTATAATCTGGTTCCGTTGATAGTGAGGCTCGTGGGTACAGAGTTTCTATCCTTGCTCCTGCCACACTGAAATTTTTTCAGTCTCCTGATTGTCTTTCTTCCCCATCCAAACCTTCTTCATGGTGCAGCTGCTCTTTACTTAGCTAACTCCTACCTGCCATTCAGGCATCCGATTGACCACAGCTTTCTAGGGCATACTTGTGGACCAGATTGGTCCCTGGGCATATCTTTTTGTACCTCCATGTGCTTCTCTTTTCACACTGTTCCCCCATGGCCTGTCAACTCCATGGAAGCAGGAACCCTATCTCACCTGACCATCTTGGTATGACCACTGAACCTGACACATAGTACATGCTTGGTAAATATTTAATAAAGAGGAAAGAAAAAAAAGGAAAACTGTAGAGAAAGGAGTAGATGGTGGGGGAAATGATATACACATGTGATGCCACTTTAGGACATCTGCTAAACCTAAAATTTCTCTCTGTGCTTATTTTTAAAAATTGAAAAGAGAGGGGCAAGGCAAGGATTCCTGTTGAATAGGATAGAAAGGAAACCAACATTTATTAGCATCTTATTCTGAGTCAACCATGACACTAGGTGCTTAAATTACTATCTCATTTACCAATTTTACCAAACTCTCATTTATATGGAAGGATGCTGAAGCTTAGATAAACTGAACAACTCACTCAAAGACACACAGTTAGTGGCAGAGCAATGTGATACGTTATAATATAGATTTACATGATTTTAAATCCCTGATTATTTGCGTCAGTGCATGGCATCAGCCAGAATGATAGCTATGAAATAAAAGTTATTTTGCTAAATTGATTTGTTTTTGAAAATTAAATGAATTACCAATCAAGGTCATGAATACTAATCATACATTTTCACCACACATGCATTAAGTTTGCATTTCATACTATTTACTTTCCTTTGAAAATACCTCTGTTCCAATGGACAACATTCTTGAGTTCTCTGTCCTGAACTTTTCATCACATTTGCCATTCTTGAGCCCTTTTGAGGCTCTTCCTTTACACAAAGAATATTTTTCAATATCAGGGCAAAAAGGCAGGGTGAGCTCAACAGATTATGTTGGGTACTAAAAATATAGACAAATAAGGTAGGTTCCCACTTCCAGGACAGGAGAAGCATTTTGATAAAGTTTGGAGGAATTCGCTGAAGATTTGGAGGAGTATGGAGGGATAATGTGTGCATTCAATAAATATTTGAATAGTAGCATCAATTCTGTGCCGAGCACTTTTTAGGTGCTAGGGATATGATACAAATGAGAGAAAGTCCCTGCTGCTCTTAAGGAGCTTTTATGCTACTGCAAAGATAGAGATAATAGAAAAACAATTAAACAAGTCAGAAATTTCAGAGGTGGATAAATGGTGAAAAGAAAGTTAACCATGATGCAGATTAAACTAGTGAGGGTGAGAGATGAGGGACAGACACTTTGGGTAGGGTGAGGAGAAGGTCTCTTATGGGAGGTGATGCTTAAGCTGAGACCTGAATGATGAAAAGTAGCCAGTCATTGAAGATCTAGGGCAGAAATGCTCCAAGTAGAGAGAACAGGAAGTACAAGAGTCAGACGCTGAATGAACTTGGCCCATGTGATGAATAAGAAAACCAATATGGCTGAAACAGCAGAGGCTCACATAGAATAAAAGAGGAAACAGGATATTCCAGTCTGCAGGAAGGGCACGATCCAAGACATCAGAAGTTGAAAAGCATAGCTATGCTGAGAAAATGACAAGGAGAACAGTAGCTAGTGTGTACAGTGTGTGTGACTGGGAATATGAAAGACACAGCAGGAGATAAGGCTGGGAAGATAGGTCGGGGCCAACATTCATAACTACCCATGTTAAAGAATCTGAAATTTATTCGTAAGAGAGGGAATTTCCAAGTAGGGTGTGCAAGCCTCCTAAATAACACAGCAAAGTTCTCATGTTTGTCTACTTTTATGCCGCAAAGACCTCACAATTTACATCACCTTCTCAAATGGGAGCCATCCAGGTCTGTGAAGCAGAGGAGTAATATAATGAATTACCAGTGGAGGTGTGTAGAGGCTGCAGTGCTGGGGAGACAGTACAACCCAGGAGCAAAAGAAGTTCTGCCATTGCACAGAAAGAGGCGAATCCAGCAATATCTGGAATCTCAAAACCTAGATCTTAGACTGAAAACACCCCAAAAACCCATCTGTGTGAGGCTGATGGTATAACCACTCAATGGAGTACTATGGAGGACCATTAAAAATGAGAACTATCTCTATGTACTGATATGAAGAAATTTCTAGGACTCAAGTGGAAAAAATAGTGAAAAGTAGTGTATATGGTATGGTAGTTTTGTGTAAGAAAAAAAGGGAAATGAGTCAATACACAGACACACACACACACACACACACACATTTTTCTTTATGCATGAAACAACTAGAGGGTTAAAGCAGATATCAAAATGATGAGAGCAGAAATAAATAAAAATGGTAAATAGAAATGGTAGAAGTGTCAGGAGTAAAACTTCTCTGATTATATTTTTTTAAAGTATATTTTGGACCATGGAACCCTGTAAATATGTTACGTATGCCAAAAAACCCTAAAATAGAACAAAAGTCGCAAACAGGAGCAAATGAACCCCCACTTATTTAAAAGTGATAATGCAGCCACATACAGTAGCATTTTCAAGTCACTTTTGCATCCAATTCCCTGGCCATACATCCTTGCAAGGATATCTTCTAAGTAAAATGTTTACAAAGAAATCTCACATTTCTCTCAGAAGGCATGTTACTCCTGAAGATGTTGGTTTTGTAATTTTAGAAGTGCTGTCAGACAAGAAAACATATTGTTGACTGGGAACTAAGATTTTCAGTATGGGAGAAAATAGACGCAAATAGAAAACAAAGTAAATTTAAAAAATAATTGTTAAATCTGAGTTGGAAATATCAGTATAGTCACAATTTATATACACACATGCATTATATGTATTTACCTTCCTGGCTGTCCAGTGAAAAGGGCAGAGAAGCAATGAAAGCTCCAGCAGTAATGAGAATAACTTGCATGTAGATCACAGTGACTTGGGACATGTTAGAATGCTAGGAAGCAAGGAACCACTCAAAACTGAAGAGGATATAGGACACAACGTCAACTAGAAGGCATTTTCACCTGCCAGATTTGGGACAATGTGAGCATACAAAAGAATAAAAGAATAATAGTTACAAGGTTGACTGTAACATATTGAACAAATAAAATGTCATGTGTCCATGTTAGTATAAAATGCAGGGAGTATGTGTGTGTGTGAGAGAGAGATAGAGACAGAGACAGAGAAACAGAGACTTTTTAAAATAAAAATATCAAATAATAAATGTAGAAGAAAGGATGAATTTAGAAAAAATACCATTTTGCAGCCCCTATATAATAATTGATCCCAGCAAGAACCACTGATAGTTGCTTAAACTGTTAGGTGGAGGTAGTTTGACATCAGGATATTTGCATGGTGCTCACATTGTAGATTACATACTAACTGCAGAGGGGCAGCCATATCACTGTAATTTTATTAGAGAGATCTGGCAGTCACCACCTTAGTCAAGTGACTAAAGTTAGCATACTTAATAGTGGAACATAGCAACATGAAGTGTCTTTTGTTGTGATGTGACCCAAAGCATACAATATCCGCTGTAAAATATTTTTGCTAAAAATATTGGCTATGTGCCTTTGCCACTTGGCCTAAATTTCAGTATACAGGAAATACGAGAGTTGAGAGTACAAGTTAAAACCAGGAGGAAACAGATGAGTCCAAGTCTTCCTCCTTTTTGTTTGGTCCGGAGGGCTGGCATCGTATCATCCCACTGACAGCTGGCAGGAAGTCTAGCAATCAAAAGGCAAGGCCACTTGGCAGGAGCTGGTTGTGAGGTAAGCAGATATGTGAATCACCAATCCCCAAGCTAAAGATGACAAGCTTAAAGGCAGAAGACAAGAAGGAGGATGGTGAAAAATCAGGGAAGAAATTATGTGTCCAATCCTGACTCTGTCACTAATTGACTACAGGTTTTGTACAAGTTAAATCTCCATTCTTAACTATAAAGGTTTCATCTGTCAAGTGAGAGGATTGGACGAGTTAGATATCTCTAAGGGCTTTTCCTATGCAAAAGCCCCTGGATCAGAGAACTACTTGGCTCCTCTATTGTCTTCCTGATTTAGTTTTTGCTAATGGATCGCTTGGGTCTTAGAGAATTATTTTATTTTATTGGAAGAATAAAACAAAATTTCATAACAAATTAATAGGAGAATAAGAATAGTTAATACACTGTGTATTGTCATCTTCAAAGTAGTTACTCAGAGTACAAGATATGGGCATAAAAATTCTCCAGAAGATATTAGCACACATCTTTCTTTTCAATGAACTAAGAGAATGATTTGGAAATCTACCTTGTTTATGACCTTAAGAAGGTTAGACATATGAGTATATGTTAAGAGTAATGTAAGAATGATCAAATAATTAAATATCAACTGTTCCATTAAAGAAAGCAATAGAAATTAATAGTGCAATTTTCCCTATTTGTTTATCTGGGTAACCAATAGGAAGATACCAGTATGTAATACAACAACCATTGTTAATTTCTTTTCACCTTGTCTGAAATTCTGTATTGCTTTTATGTTGTTTTGTTTATGTCTGTGTGTTTGTTAATATGTTTTTGGTTCTTCTATCTCCAAAAATAAAATTTAAAAAAAGAATAATGAATCAGACAGACGTTTTTATGACAAACTGAATAAGTATTCAGGAAGGAAAACCTGGCTAAGAAACTACTTAGGTAAAGCACTCAGGCTAAGGTTTCCTTAGCACAGTTTCCCTAGAAAAGTTTCCCTAGCAAAGTTTATGGCACAGTTGTGTGACCATGAGCAAATCAGTTCTGCTTTCTAGGCTCCAATATCTTCCTTTATAAAATGGAAATCAAGTTTTGTTCTTAAAAATGCCAAGTGTAGCATCTGAGTTTCCTCACCTATGAAGGAATCTGGGACAGTAGGAAGAGTATGGTTAGACACAAGTTACATCTTCCTAGTAATGAGGATGCTATGGTTTGGATGTTGCCTGAGTGTGTCCCGAAAGATTCACACACTGGAAGCTCAGCTTTCTGTGTGGCAGTATCAAGAGGCGGCAGGACCTTGAAGACATGGAACCTATTGGGAGGTCATTGAGGGTGCTGCCATCTGAAGGAACTGATGCAGTTTTCAGGAGACTCTGGCTATTTCTCCAGAGAGTGTTATTATCCTGGGTTGCTCTCTGGCTTCCTGCCTTACCATATACTTTCTTCCCACCACAAATGTTCTTGCCATTCTGATGCCACCCACCATGAAGCCTTCCTGAGAGCCAAGCTTCTGCTGCTGCCATGCCCTTGAAGCTACAGAACTGTGAGCTAAATAAGGCTGATTTCTTTATAAAGTGTCTAGTCTCGGGTATTTCTTTATACTAGTAAAAAATGAATTAATACAGAGACTTTAGACAAGTGTGTTCATGTCCCCTGAGCTAAGTTTCTTTATCTATAAACTGGGGTGATAAAACTTACCCACAGAGAAGCTGTCAAGATTCAGTAAGATAACTAACCCATCATGTTCCTCTGTACATTTGGTTCTCTTCCTTCTTCTGGTTTTTCTTACAGGAAGTGGGGGCATTAGAAGTGGTAAGTGAGCCTTCTGGTGCTCCTTAGGTTACTCTTCTGTCATATTTCCCCTAACTTTTTCCTCTGAGGGGCATACTACCTCTTCTAGTCTAGTCTGAGAGACAGTCTTGGGAGACTTAGATGACCACTGCCTTGGTTGCTTCTGCTACTGCTCAGGGTTACTCTTCCCAGACAGATCACAGAGCTACTGCTACCCCGAGAAGACATGCCAGATTGGAGAGAGTCTGACTCACCAGATGAGTTGTGACAATAGGCTCTGAACTTTTGGTGAGCTTTAGCTTTCCAAATCAGGATGCCTTTTCCATTCTTTCCACACCTGGGGTTCTGGTTAATCCGAGGGATGACAGGATATTGTTCTGCAACCCATCCATAACTGTAAAAGAATACAGACTAGTTGAATGGACTAATGATTGAAAGGCACCATGTCTATTTTTGAACAAAGACAGAGAGACAAAGGAGCTCTGACAGCGTTAGTGAACTCAGCTGTTTCTTACCTGCAAGTTTCAAAGCCAGACAGCAGTGCTGCTTCAACTTGGGCTTTGCTGGCCAAAGTTAGTCCGAGCAGTTTACAGGCTTCCCTGGCTTCTGAGAAATTCAGCTGTGGTTCTATTTTTTTGTTCACGAGGGCGACCCCCATAATTCTGCACGATGTTGCGACAAGCTCTGCAAAGAAATCATTAGGTCCTCAGTTTGCTGCCGTCTTTGTTCCCAGGCCTCAGGCTGTCCTTCCTTGTGGAGAATTACTACCTGGATGCAGCAGTGAGGTCTGTGTGGTTGGGACTGAATTTAGAAATAACAGGACGCAGGCCAGGAATTTCTCACAAGGGATGGGTAGATGGATGCTTGCTCTATTCCAAGCTATAAATCTCACCAGATTAAAGCTCATCCTATTCCTTTTCACTTCGGGTTCTTGGAGTGGGGTCTAAGTGATACAGCTGCCACCAACCTTCTAGGAGTCTGTAAAATGAAGCATCTAAGACTTTGAGAAGCCCAAAATTCAGGGCTCTGGTCAATAGAAAGCTAGCAATATTAGCAATACTCTAAAGCAGTGGTGGTAAACTTATGGCATGCATGCTGCTGGGAGCTGTTTGTATCACTAAAAGCTCTAAAGGTTGTCATTACTGCCTGATGTGGTTGGGGACATTGTTTCAAAAGGTTGTCATTACTGCCTGATGTGGTTGGGGACATTGTTTCAAAAAGGGCTGAAAATCTTGCACTTGTAGCAGAAGGTAAGCTCTCTTGGCTCCAGGTCTTTGCTGACCATTGGGGGGCAGGCTTTCTCAGAAGTTCCTGGAGGAGCTGGGCAATAAATCTTGCATGGCAGAGAAACTAAATAAAGGAAGTGGAGTTTTACAGTCAGACCGGGGCTTGGATCTAGCCTCTGTGGCATTAGCTCTGTTACCTTGGGTTAGTTACTTTCCCACTTTGAGCCTCTGTTCTTATCTATAATATAGAGAGTAACACTATTTACTGCTTAGGATAGTAAGAGTTAGGTGAATGCTTAACATAAAAATGCTTAGAATGGTGCCTACCACATAGTAGGTACCCATAGGTAGTCATAGATAACAGATTGCCATTATGTTATTTGCAAAGTGTTTGGTTGTAGCTTGGTGATGTTTGAACTGTTAGTTGGTAGTTGATAGAGGTAGCTGAACTGTTAGGATATTAATTATATTTTTCCTCAAAATTGAATGGACTTGGGAGCTCTTTTGATCCCTTAGGGTTCTGGGATGTATAGAGCTGTACGAAACTGCCACATTGCATTGTATTCAAGGACATTATTCCTGTTGGACTTTACCTATGCAAATTCCTAAAAGGACATTCCAGTCTTCCAAGTAATTGCTTGTTTGTACAGAGCTCTGTGTAGCGGATGCCTAACTGCCTTGATCACTTCTGAGGTTGGTATTTTGATGTTGGGAACACTGAGCCTCTCTAAGTTCTCTGTCTGTACAATCTTGCTCTGTTCAGGAGGAAAGGATGCGTAGATGATGTTCAGTATTTGTGAATGGCTCTGGTTACGTTCAGACCTTTCATCAAGAGAGAACAGAGTCAACACCCAGTATGACTAGGGTGTTAGAACAATTGTGTATGACTAATGCTAGTATCCATACCAGTACTGATATTAATACTGATAGCAATACCAAAGGTAATTCCAACACCTGTCATCTGTTGATCTTACTCTGTGCAAACTTTGCCTTTCTTAAGAGAAAAATTGAGGCTCAGAAAAATTAAGTAACTTTTCTAAAATCAAAGACATAGAGGAACTTGGTGAAAGATTGGGAGCATAAACCCATTTTTGTCTGACTCTAAAACCCCAGGTTTCTGGGCATGGGGGCTCATGCCTGTAATCCCAGCCCTCAGGAGACTGAGGCAGGAGGATCACTGTGAGTTTGAGGCCAGCCTGGGCTACATAGTTCAAGGCCAATCTGAACTACATAGTGAGACCCTGTCTCAAAAAGAAAAAAAAACCCGGGTCAATTATGATATTGTTCTGTTTTCCATGTGGGAAGACAGACAGGCAGACAGACACACATACAATTACCCAGTTGTTTCAGAATTTGGCTCCTTTAGCTCAGAAACTTACTATTGCTCAGACCTCATATGGCTGCTTCTTTGGAAATTGACTGTACAGAGGGTTTGTTCTTTATACTACAAACTGGTCTTACTACTCTGTTATAACTAACCTTTACTGTATCATCTGGAGTAATGATAGACCTAACCTGGGTGAATAGATTTAGCTTTAGATATTCCCACTGTTGCTAAATGGCTAGGACCTTGGGCAAATCAGTACTGCTATCCATAAAATAGGGATGATTATATCCTTCCAGGAATTTTTATTTGGAATTAAATGAGATAACTTGTACTTAGCAGAGGCTGGATCCATAGAAGGTATTCAACAAATATTAATCAATTTTATGCTTTCCTATTTCATTTAGATGTAAAAATAGGGAGTTGGAATTTGACCTCTTCCTCAAGATTTCTTAGAAAATAGCAAATATAGTAGAAGCAGTACATGCTTAGAAATCAGAGATAAATTCAATCCCAAATTTAGTACTTACCACTTGCATGACTTCGGGCAAATCACTTGCCCACTGCACTAAGTCTGCTTTTTCATCTATAAAATGTTTTCTTGAGAGTATTAGGTGAAACTATATCTATTTCTATATCAATATCTATATATCTGTCTCTCTGCATAATAGACTTTCAAAAAGTCCCATTTCCATCTGCTTACCTTTATTGCCACCTGATCTATAACCACCCTTATGATAACTTTAAGCTCTTTCCAAAAATTTAACCTCTTTAGGAAATTTTTGCCATTGAGAATGGTGTAAAGAGTGTGATGTAGTCATTATCAAGGAACAGTTTTGAAAATAGTTTGAGTAATAGCAGTATTGTAGAAGAAAGGGAATAGTCTTCCCAGGGGGATTTCAAAGAGGACCAGGTTTATTTAAAAGTAACAGTTCTGCTATTTGGAAAAAAAAAACTCAATCATATAACTCAATCCGCTCTTGTGAAATTAAATTACAATCTATAAATCAACACTGAATGTCTGTTCCTGACATATTTTATTTCTAAGGGCATCTTCCCAGCAGAGGAACAAACAATTTTCCCTTTAATAAAAGTACTCAGATTTTCATCTGCCCAAAGCTGTAATAAGTGATTTGTGGTTACGTATTTTTTCCTACAGTGCAGAATAAGTTTTCCATTTAGGCATCTCAAAAGCTCAGCAATCCCTCTAAGCCATTCCTTTGGTAGGGAGCTGATGGCAAATTTTTGAAACCTGTACTGCATTTTCATAAATTTTTTTCAGTTTATTTACTGCATATTAAAAACTTTGCAGCCCATTGATAGTGTAGGGAACTTGAAATTAAAATAATTATGCAGACATTTCTAAAACCATAAAATTAAGTTGATATTTACTGGAAGTTACTCATTTTTTCTGAGGCTTAACCCATTGTTTTAAATTTTTCACAATTATAGTCTGCTTCTTGAATGAGACACTTTTAAAACATTTCTTCTTGATGTTTTATTGCAAAATATTCCTATTAAAATACTCCATAACCAAAAAAAAAAAAAAAATCAAGTTATGTCACGCACAGGTACAAATTCCCTATGATGAATGTGATCACTATGTATACCTAAAATGTACCAGTAAATTTAATTAATAAAAACAATGCTCTGGATTCAATTCCTAGACCTGCCAATAAAAAAAAAACAACATTGAAATGTAAAAAGAAAATACTCTATAGCAAAAAATAATAGTCAAAATGATGTAAAAGTAAATATAAATCATTTTGGTGAAGTTGACAGGGTGGTAGAAACATTTCTGGCTAAACAGTACTACCCAGTAGAACTTCCGTTGACCTTGAGGGTCGCTCCTGTTTCCAGAAACCCATAGTTAAGATCGTAGCAGGCACAGGACAGCTTCTAAGACCTTGCTTTGCCTCAGCTTGCAGATCTGGTAAGAAACCTACCTTGTACTCGGACAGAGCCTTGGACCAGAAGCCTCGTGGTCCAAATGATGGCAAGAAGCAACGCCAGGCTGAAGCACTTGGTCATTGTGCAAAGTTCCAGGAGCTGAGGGGGCACTGCAAACGGCCACAGGCTGTAAGGCAGGAGGATGCTTAATCACCAGGCTAGATGGAGAGTTCTGGAAATATGTGGAAGCTCCCACTGCTCTACTTCATAACGGAGACATCCGGATTTCCCTGCTTTCAAGCTGTGACTTGTCAAGGTCACTGGGGAAAATGAGTGACGTCCCCTGAATGCCCAGGCTGTACTTTGTGGATGGCTTTCTGGAAAATTTAGCTAATGCTGACTCAGAAAACACACGAGTGAGGAAGGCTGATAGAACGAGCTGCTGCAAGTTTTCTCAGTTCCCATATTCCCTGCCCCTGGCCTACTCTGGGGGCTCCGTTCTCCCATGTGTTTTGTTACTGCAGACAGAGCCCATTCATTCATGCCTCCCTAGAAATGTCTGTCTCTGAAAGAGAGCGGGCATGGCTTGTGCTTCTTTCCCTTTCACAATCAGTGAGTTTTCCCCTCAGTCGCATTTACTTGTAATACATAGGGAAATGATTTTGAGGCTCACAAAAATAAATGCCCACTAAATCCCATGCCTTCCTTTGGGACTGTTGGGATTTTTTTTATACATAGGCTATCTCAACACCACTACAGGGGATCCCTTTTTCAAAGAAACCAGACGCATATAAAAGTTCAAATTTATAAAACACAAGGGGGCAGTTTACAAAATTAGTCATCTTAACTTTACAAAAAGATTTTTGACTTTATCGTAGTAGTCATCACAGGAGTTCTATCTATAACTTTTTCTTAATAACTGCTATTGTATTTCGATGGACTAGAGTTAGTGTAGACTCCACCCTTCTCACCTGAGGAATGCGAGGGTTATCTGCAACGTGCACAAGCAGAGTGAATGCTGTTTTTGTAGTAGAGTTTTCAGGGGCTTGCCCTCATGGCTAAGTATGGAGTTCTGGCTTGTGAGCAATGCCTACATCACAGTTTTATTATGAACTTTCTGCAAAGTGAGTATCTTTGATAGAAATAGTGCATAGATGACCAGTTTTTTTCTGTATAAGTGATATTCATCATAAAGTTAGCTATATCTGTGCAGAAAACAGCAATAACAAAAAGAAAATCTGTTCTGTACAAACACAGGAAATATCTAAGATATCAGGAAAGAGTCCCTAAATATCTCCCAACAGACTCCTTACTGTTTGGAGCTACAGGCTCCTAGTACCTCAAAAAACATATGTGACCGTGTCATCATTGTGCCAGGTAGATAGCTGGAACCGTGTCCTCTTCATAATGGTCCTAATGTCTACCTGGCACCATGTCTGAAAGAAAGCTAGTTTTCAAAAATTCGTTATTACAGAACAGAAAGGAGGAAGAAAGAAAGGGGAAAAATAAATCCTGGACACAAGGCATGGGAGAAATAGCTTATGAGAAATGAGAAGATGTTTGATTTTGTAAACGAATGGCCTGGAGGGGAATTATTGGAGAAAGGAAATCTGCATTTTTGTCCTGGTGCTTCATGAGTTTCTGGAAGTGGAAACAGTTTTATTTTTGATATTCCCATTGAGAAAAGTCACACCGCCTTTGAATTGTGATTGGAGATTCCCGATTGGAACTAGCTGCCTCTGCTGTTAAGCGAGAATACCTTCACACTCAGCTTCCAGGCCCCTGGTGGTGATCCTCTGGCACATGTGCCACAGTGGGCTGTTGGTATCATTGAAAGCTCTAAAAGTTTGCCATCACTGTAGGCTCGCTTGCGTGGTGGGTTTCAGAAGAATTTGATGTCAAGAATTAAGAGTTGAAGTGGAGAGCTATTAAAAAACATTGCCAGACAATCTCTCCTCACCACTTAGAGGAAGAATGTTCAAGCTATGATAAAAAGAAGACACGTTTCTATCCATTTCTTGATAACAGCTCACACTGTCATCGAGGATAACCAATAATTAAGGAAGAAACTTGTACAACTAGAAATCCATAAAATTAAATGAAAATAGGGAGAACAACAATCAAATTTCAAAGGAGAGCTGGAAGTGTGCAATATCCAGGCTAGTTTTGTTATAACCTGGGTATCGAAAACAAGAATAAAAGTCCATAGGTCACCAGACCACAAAGTGTCACAGCTGGACCTGATATGAAAGACTGAGCTTAACTCAGAGGTCATGGATTTTGAGCTTGATGAAATATTATACTACCCATTTAATCTGACACATACCATACAAATATAGATGTATGCTACGGCTTGTATCTAGATGCTCCCCTAAAGCAGCTACTGGCTGCTTCCTGCCTGCCACAACCATGGACTGTTTCTTTGCAATTCCTCTCTGCCATGCCTCCCGGCCTTGGAGCCAGCCGACTATGGATTGAGACCTGGATGAACTGAGCCGAAAGAAACCTGCCGTCCTTTGACTTCGAGTGTTGGGAATCTTGTCTCAGCCATGAGAAAAATAACTAAGACAATATAGTAGATGTTTTGAAATGCAGCATAAAAGAAGGAAATAAGGTACAATGCAGAGTCCTGCATTGAGGATACTGTCTAAATTTTAGTTTAACTTCTAATAATTTGTGTGATCTTGAACAAGTCATTTACCTTCTCTGGGCCTCAGTTTTGTCATCTATTGAAGAAGTTAACCAAATTAAATGAACTTAAATATAACAGCAATATTATCCTACAGTGCCTGATACTGAAGAATTATTTTTTAAAAGTATGGATAGGTGGGAAAATGTATTCATCAGTGTAGTCTAGCTGCTGTAACAAATGACCCCAAATCTCAATGGATTAATAAATTAAGTTTATTCTCATTACAATCCAATGGCTGACAGTTGGTGGTAGCACTGGTTGTAATAGTGGAATATATGTGTAGTGGGGAGATTTTACTGCCACAGTCAATTCAGGGACAGAAACTCATTCCCTCAGTCTCCGTGTTATTCCACTATCACTAGTACCTCTGACTCTGTGAGATCTTCACATTGAGCCAGCCACCAAAGAAAGAGTGAAGAGGGGGCTGAAGCTGGAGATTGTTTTAGGGGCCAGGCCTGGGATACATCACTTCCATCAAGAGTGCATCAGCCAGAACTTTGTCACTTGTTTCTACCTAATTGCAAAGGACCCATACTCTAGTTATGTGCCCTGAGTAAAGAAAAATAATTTGGTGAACACAGAATGGACTCTGACACAGTTTACCCTTCTATCGCTCACTATTGGGATCACTGTTCCTCCCACAGGTAGAATATAGTACAGTAGTACCTTGGTTCACGAATTTAATTCTCCGTGGTGTCTTGGTTACTTTTCTCTCATTGCTGAGACAAAATACCCGACGTCCAAAATTAAGGCAGGAAAGGTTTATTTAGCTTACAGTCTGTGGAGGTTTCAGTCCATACTCGGCTGGCACCAAGGCAGGGCAGCACATGCAGAGGGCAAGAGTTCATGGCAGGTGGAAGATAGCCAAAGCAGCCAGAGCAAAAGGAGGAGTGGCGTCAAGCAGCCTCTTTCTCTCCCTTACATATGCAAACTATCTGCCCCAGGGCGGGTGTAGCACTCACACCCATGAACAAATCATAAATTCTAGAAGCCCGCCCCATGACTGCATGAAGCTTTGGGAGGACATCCGGAACCAAACCATAACACACGGAAAGCTACCACTGTACTTTACTTCAAGAAAAGCAGTTGAAGGTTCTGTCCAGCTCAAATCCATAATCTCCAAGTTAGGCTCAGTCTTCTCTATCAGGTTTGGTTGTGGCACTTTATGATCTGGTGACTTATGAACTAAAAAAATTATACACACACACACACACACACACACACACACTCACAATGGTGAAGCAGAAGCTTGATGACCTCAATAAAATTTCCCAGGTGTAAAAGAGAAGACCAGGAATCACAGCAATCATCTGGCCATAGTCATTCTGGAATACCAATGAAAAGACATGGCTGTGGACTGGCTGTGGGTTGAGTGTGCCCTCAAGGGCCCATTGTGATTAATGGCTTGATCTCCTGGGTGGTATTGTATTGGGAGATAGTAGAACCTTTGAGAGACAGGGACAGGTATGATGTCCATAGGTCATTGGTAGTATGAGGTATTTCCTATGTGACTCCTTTAGTAGTTTTCACAAGGGAGTTGTTATACAAGGAGCAAGTCTGATCCATCTTTCTTCCCTCTGCTTCTTAGCTCGACAAGTGACTACTTGCTCCAGCACAAACTCTCATCATTGCCATTCACCATTCACCATGAAGTTCTTGGCAGAAGCGAACTGGCACAGGCACCATGCCCTTGAACCTCTAGCACTGTGAGCTAAATAAAACTCTTCTACTTCTTAAGTAGCCTGGGTTAAGTATTTTGTTATAGTGATGAAAAGCTGAACAATGCAACCATTGCATCAGTTTTCTACTGCTGCATAACAAATTACTATGGACTTAGTGGCCTAAAATATACTCATTTATTATCTCACATTTCCTGTGGGTCAGAAGTCTGGGGGTGGTGCTCTGGTAGGTCCTCTTTGGTTCTCACCAGACTGAAATCGAGGTGTTGCCTGGGCTGAGATCTTGCATGGAGGCTCTAGGGAAGAATGTATTTTCAGAATCATTCAGATTGATGGCAGAATTCATTTATTGGAGGTTGTAGAAATGAGGTCTCTCTTCCTCTTCATTTTCAACACAGCATGACACAGAGTCTTCCTTGTTCTCCACTCTCTGACTTCTACTTCTACCATGAACCAGAGCAAGTTCTCTACTTTAAAAGACTCATGAGACTATATGGATCCTACATGAATAATCTCCTTATCTTCGGTCAACTGTATCATCTAATGTAAAATAAAAGTAGGAGTTATATCTCAAATCCAAAGGTTCCGTGGGTTGGGGTGACACTTCAGAAATTCTACCTAGCAGAGTCACCCATCTTTGATTAGAATCTGATTCTGTTTCTGGGAGAAACTTCCATGCTCACTGTTCTCTGTGGCCCCTGCCTTCACTCTGGGAGGCCTTTCATTATGCATAATCTTCTTATATATATTTGAAGTAGGTATTAAGGAGTACCCTCCCTTCACAGAAAGCATAGCTTTTGTAGTCTACTTCCTGCTGGTGTAAGTAGAGAAACCAAAAATTGTTTTATAACTTGAGCAACAACTGAAGGAGTTTTTAATCCTGGCTTGTGTTGCTTTGTAAATGTGATTTTCTTACAAGCTTAGTTTTCTTATCTATTTGCTTTCATGTGCCAGGAATCATATTCCAAATCCTCTCTCAGTCATTATTCTAAAGATGTATTTCTTTGAGTTCCCTGCCCTATGTCTGTCCCACCCCCTTTCTCTCTCTTTGTCATTTAATGGCGGCCACACAAAATCCATTTGGAACCACAAATGGAAGGGTCACCTCCTAAATCTATTCTTTGCCATAAGGCTGAGTGGGTCTCTTCAAATGAGAAATTTTATCAGTTCTTTTCATCAAAGCTCTTATTAGTCTGTTTAGGATTTATAGGGAGTCTAATTCTTTAATCTTTCAAAATTCTGAATTCTCTGCATTATTTTTCATTTTTCTTCTACATAGCCAATTTTCCCCAAATGCTTCTTTCTCTTATAATATCTTGAGTATCAGCTCCACAGAATGAAGAGGCATTTGGCTGCTGCTCAAGGTTTAGAAATGTGCTTTTATTTTCAAACTCAGGTACGTGACACTCTACAGTTGATGCTAGCACACCTGTGAAAGGTTTAACAACATTAGGAACTGATGGCCAGTGATATGCAAAGCCAGCATCTCCTTCTCCATTCACTCTGTCAGGTTGTACACAAGAAGCAATGCAGAGGGCCAATAGAGATTCACATACTCCAACACTTCATTTCCTCCAACCACTCTTCCAGTGTTGGGCTATCCATGTTCTGCCTTTCAAATTATTGTGGATAAGACTTTGTCAAGGGTTTTTGTTTTATTTGCTACATGGGTCACCATCTTTCCAGCCCTTGGTATTAGATTGTTTACTGATACTTTACTGCTAAGCCACTGTTTAGCCAGCCAGCTTTCCCATTGCTGGGACACAATACCTAAGATCCATTACTTAAGGTAGGGCAGATTTAATTTGGTTCATGGTTTTAGGGGATTCAGTTAGTGGTTTAAAACTGGCTCTGAGGCAGAAATATCATGGCAGAAGGGTGTGGGGAGCAAAGATGCTTAGTTCATGGTGGTCAAGAGACAGAACAGGAGGACATTGCCAGAGAGAAAGGGGCCAGAGACCATACATGGTGTTCGAGGACATGTCACCATAACCCATCCAGACACAAACAGAAGTTTCCTTCACCAATCCCCTGGGCAATTCCCAAATCAATCAAGTTGACACCAGGAAGCTTAACCATCATAGCCACTTCCTATTTTGGAATTTTATGTTAAAGCACATTTTGGGTTCAAAGATATACATCAGCCAAGGTAGGTTAGCTGCTATCACAAACATTGCTGAATCTCAGTCACTTAACATGCTTGTATTTTACTTCTTGCTCATGTCATACTTTAATGTGGTAAGTACTCACCAAAAACTCTGCTTCATCCTGTGGTTCTACCATCTTATCAAATTTCATAGCTGTCAACAGATTTCTCCCATTTTGGTAGACAGAACAGGGGAGAAAGTGTATGTGGGGTACTGGGCAGAACATTTTGTTTTGGGGAACTAGATTACCAAGGTTCACATTTCCCTGTACCCATCTGCAAGAAAGACCAAAAATGCAGGCAAGCTGTGGAAATAGGGTTGTTTAAAATTCAGTAGTCTTTATCGACTTTATCATAGCAAAATATATTTTAGAACATAGACCAGGAAGGCACAGGAAAGTAGGACAAGATATGGGCAAGGAATGAAGGACAGGAACTGACCAGCTTCCGTTGGTGGCCCATAGGACAATGATCCAGTGGCTGCGAACCTCTGCTTGGTTCTGGGAGGCACAAATATCCAAAGGGCTCTGACTCAAGGTTGGAGTAAGATTGTGGCTCAGCTCCACTGAATGAAGAGGCATTTGGCTACTGCTCAAGGTTTGGAAATGTGCTTTTATTTTCAAACTCAGGTGCGTGACACTCTACAGTTGATGCTAGCACACCTATGTGAGGTTTAACAACATTAGGAACTGACAGCCAGTGATATGCAAAGCCAGCATCTCCATCTTCATTCACTCTGTCAGATTGTACATGAGGAGCAATACACATGGCTTTGTGGTGGCCAGAAAGTGAAGGTCCTTTTAGGAAGTGACATCAACCATGGTGCAACTACATACAATATCTTTTTGCAACTGCAGGTAGACAACCAGACTTCTTGGGCTCAGCAGAAATGTTGGACTTTAGAGGCAGTTTGAGGGGAACTTTATTTCAGATTGATGTCACAGTGGAAATACAGGGCCTGTTCCCATTTTACAATTGCTTTGGCAGCAGCTACAACTGCATCAGGTTGATTTTTGCTTTCAACCCTTGTAAATGTGGCAACTCTTATGCTTCCGCTTGGAGATGTCCTTTTCCTCGACTTCTCTTATTCAGGTGGAGTAATGTGGTAAAGGCCTCTGCCTGGAGCTCTCTCAGGCCTTTCGATGAGATTATTGGAAATGCAGGAGCTCTCTGTACCTGTTCTTGTCTTGTACTTTGAAACAGGTTTGGGAAACCTATGGCCAAATGGACCAAGGGCCAGCTCAGCCTAGTTATCCTCTCAGAGAGGTTGAGATTGGCCACTTAGAGTCCACCACATGGCCACTCTTCCTGGATCTCCACTCATATCCTGTCTTTGTGTCTGGGGGGCGGGCTCATGAAGCCAAAGCTCCTTCAGTTGTACACACCCCCTGGAAGAGGCTAGGTAAACCGTTTACTCGTGTCTCCTAAGTCTCTCTACCTTGATCTGCAACTCTTGACCTTAATGTCACATCCTTGATCAACCCTGACATTTGACTCAGCCATTTTCCAGCCACTGATAATGATGCCCATCCAGTAAATGTATGGTTTTAAAGTGAGACCTTCAGGGGTCTCCCTGAAGGGAGTGGTTATACTGGGCCCAATCTTTTGAGCTTGGAAATGGTGTTGCTGCTAGCCTCATTTCATGCTTGTTCTCTCAGAGTAGACTGAGAAATACTAGAGTAAGCATAGATCAAGAAAGATATCTTAGTGAGACCCTGTCTCAAAAAGACAAAAAAAAAAGAGGAAGATATCTTTTCTCATGGAGATGGGAGTGAGGAGGTGCCAATATTGGGAAAATCACAAAATATCAGCTATCCCAGAGTGCTCTCCACTGCCTGGAATGTTTGCTTGTTCTTTTGACCAACATTCGGTGACACCCTCCCAAGCATCAGCCACCATGTTAGGCGCCTACCCAGGAGATGGGTAAGACATGGTTCTTGTCTTTGAGGGAAAATGCTGTGAGAAACAGAGACATAAATAAGTTACGGTGATAGACTGCAGGTACAAGTCAATGCCAAAAATACTTGACAAGTCCCAGGAAGCACAGAGGAGGGTGTGACCCATTCTGTGAGGAGTGTGGAGGGATTTGTGAAAGTCTGTATGGAAGGATAATTTTTATAGTTGGTCCTCAAGAGTGACCAGAAGAGAAAAACTAGGAGTAGAGGTACAGAGATGAGAGAAAAAGTGTTTAGTTTGGGAACCAGAGGTTGTTCAGAGGGCTGCGGGGCTGGTTGGTAAAAGGAGACTGGAATGTGAGGTGTCCAGCTAGGAGACCACAGAAGGGGCAGTTATTCAGTGCAGTCTTAGGAGTGCAGCCCCTGCTTGTTCTTGCAAAGTAGACTGAGAAATACTAGAGAAAGCTTAGATCAAGGAAGATATCTTAGTGAGACCCTGTCCCAAAAAGCCGAAAAAAAAAAAATGCAGCTGCAGCCAGCTGCATGATTTACTAGCCAGGTGCTCTCACATCCTTTTTTGTGCTTCAGCTCCCTTATCTGAAAATAAGACAAGAAATATCTACCGCAGCGGATTTTTCTTGAGGTTGAAGTGAATTAATACCTACAGAATACTGAGAATAGTGCTTGGATCATAGTTAAGTTCTATATGAGTGTTAGCAGCGGAAGCAAATGATAACAAAGGAAAAGCAAAAACAAACACAACAGGACTCATCTGGAAACTGACATCCCCTGCCCCCAAAACTGATGAGAGCTGAATGAAAACAGTGGCTGAAAAGGCGGGGGAGACATTGAACTGGAGATGGGATGCGCTTCTTCATTTAATGCTGAATAGCTGGGAATATGCTGAAGCACACCCTTGGGTGAGGAAGCCCTAAGGTGCAGCTGCCTGTGCAGGTAAACACTACACAGAATGAGAGGCTGAGCTCAGTGTGCACCACTGAGGAGGGCCGTGCTGTACAGCAGTTTAGACTTGGCATTTGACGTGGAGACCAGTAAGTTTGCCACTGCAATCGTAGGGTTTCTGTGTTTATCAAACATCTTCAGTCCATGTAGAGAGCTCACTGTGCAGTGCCTGGTGACTACCCCACCCTTAGTGAAAACCTTTGAGTAGGTCTGACACACATCTTGCTTACCCACAGCACATACCCAGAGCACACTTTCAGAGGGTTGTTGGCTTTGTGCACATGTGTGTAGTGTGTCTGTCTTGTTCTGTATGGGTACAGAGTCATATATATTAATTCACATTTTCCCATTTCATTTCAAGCACTAAGCTATACATTTTTCTAAGAAAACTTTCCCACTCTGTGAAAAGAAATGGATTCCCAAGGGAGGAAGGGGAGGCTGAAGGACAGCAGTGGAGCGTGAGATGGGAAGTGGGAAGGTACTCAGTTGGGACTCCAAATTCCAGGTCTGATCCTTAGGGTCAGAACTAGCTGTTAGGGGCTGGGGATTTAGCTCAGCGGCACAGTGCCTGCCTGGCAAGCGCGACGTCATGAGTTTGATTCCCGGTACCAGAAAAACAAAACAAAACAAAACAAAACAAAACAAAACAAAAAAGAACCAAAAAACCCCAACTAGCTGTTAAACACAATTCTTCCTGATAACCAACTGCAGAAAAGAAAAGAGGGAGAGTGAGCTTCTTACCATTCAGTTCTCCCCAGCCCCTGAGCTAGGGACAAGAAGCCATCCCCTTGGCTAGAGCTCCTTGGTGTAGGTCACTTCTTTGTCCATAGCAGGCTTCCCCAGGGAAGTTTTATTGATCCTCCAAGAACATCATGTTACTGTATATGAATAGCTCCCCAGAGGTGACGAGTATGAAAAGAAGCCCTCCCTGTTCCCTGATGGGGGGATGGTAGCATGTTCACACCTGGGCCTGACACATTCATTATACTTGGGGACCAAATACACCGGAGCGTGGCATTGACTAGGAATCAAGTCTCCTATTGCTCTGTAGGCTGCTCATGTTGGAGTCCTGAGCTCCACCAGGAGTCCCTCTGGGTTGCTGAGCAGGTGGACCTTCCAAGGGGCCCATCAGCCTGCTCCGCACAAGAGTTATAGGAATTGTAGAGCCCCAGCACGATAGTCAAGATCAGCATCACTGCAGCCATCATCCAGATCACTTGCCAGTGCCGACACAGTTTGGGGTACATGACTTGTAAGAAATGGACCAATTGTTCAAGTTTGCTGTCAATGAAAAAAATAGATGGAGGATTTTAGTACATTTACATATGTAATTCCTGAGCTCATACTTCTCTTCCTGGGGTTATCTTCTATGCTGTCTAGAGCAGTGGTTCTTAAATTCAGCATTGCGTAGCATCAGGCAGCAATTCGAAATACTCTAGACTTTCAAAGTGATAATCTCCAAAATTATGGTCTAAGAATCTATAGTCAAGTTGCCTTGGTGATTTTGATGCCAACAGTCTGTGGCCCTGATGGTGGGAGCAACTGGTCTAGAACACCCTATTGCTTGCCTGATCATTCATCCACTCACTCCTTTCCTCATGATATGATTACTGATATCTGCACTCTCCCAAACCTATGGTACCAGGTTGGCTGATCCATATTCTCATGATCTAGACAAGACCACATCTTTTCTGCATTTTGCTGTATTAGTGATCAGTTCCAAGTTCTAGCTTGTCTCTGTACTTGATACTAAGATGCATAATACTTGTTCTCAGTTCTATCTTCAATTGCATCCACAGTGGGAGAACTGTGCTAAACTCTCAGAAGTAAACTGATTTCCAGTGACTGATGACAAAGGATCAGATCAACCTCAAGGACTCCCTTCAAACCACCCCAAAGGTAACCAGGAGACTGTTAACTTCTGTGTGGCTCATTCAAGATGTTTTCTCAGCCTCATGTTCATCCTCTAATTTCTCCCCCTCCTTTTTCTTCACTCTCTTCTCTTTCTTCCTTTCTTGCCTTTCATCTCTTTCTGCTTTGTACTTCTTTCCCTCCTCAATCTTGCTACTTTTTCCTATTGCTTCTTTCCCAACTGCCTTTCACTCTATCCTCTCTTTGTGACCTAGCAAGAGGACATTTGGTCAGAGCTCTGTATCTCTCTGCAGAAACCAACTGGGCACCTCATCAGGCTGGAATTTCCTCCTGTTTTTTATACCAGGCTTAAAAAAATATGAACAATGAGAATATTGAAGGTGACCAAACCAAAGAGATGGGGAAAGTGTCGGAAGTTCTCCTTGAAGACCCTGGGCTCATACACCCAATGCACTACACAGGCCAGCCTCTGAGAAGCAAGGAGCACCAACGCAGAGCTAGTAGAATGGATGGCTTGCCATGGACTGAAAACTCAACAAATACCTTTTTTGGAAAGGCTGCCCAGAGTGCTTGCCTCGGATGCTAAAGCTGCAGGAATAGTGATTGGTTTATCAGACATGTGGAAACTTAATCAGGTCACTTTAGCAACTGAGCAAAGTAAAAAGGCAAGAACATTAGCTGATGTGAAAATCACTGGCTGTTTTCACAACTGTTCGGGAGTGCTCAGAAAGGCAAGCTTATTTTCTTTCAGCCCCAATTAGAGTCTTTAGATTCTATTTAGATATAATTGAATGCCAAAATGGAGTCACGCCTTGGAGCTACATTTCTGTGCTCAAAACAGACTGCAAGGGTGAGGAGAATCCCTCTGTAAATCTACTCGTCAGTGAAACTACAAAGGAGGAAGCCAAAAATCTGGCTTTGTGACTCTTCCTTGATCACCCATTTCTAGCTTGTAAGAGAGGTTAGAATTAAAATTAGGTTAGAAATAGAATTCAATTTTTGGTAGTTAAGTGAACTTCTGTTTTTTGAGAGTTATTGGAAAAGTAAAGGGACCTGCCTAAATATCGTTTTAGCCCTGTAGAGCAGGTTTGAACAGGTGGTGGGAAAAAAATACAAAGTTTTATGTTGCACATATGAGTCCTGCTTCTTCAAGGATTATGTGAATTTCAGAAGACTCTTCTCTATTTTGACATTGTTAAAATGTTGGGTTGATTCACCCAAAATTCCTGTAAACTGAATGTTCCAGACAGCAATATTTATAACAGATTCACAACAGATTACATTATTACATAGAATAGAGAAAAAACTCAGATGAAAGATGTTTGATTCAACAATCTCTTAAACAAAGGTCAGGTACTCGGCTTAGCACGATGTTTTCAAAACAGACTGTGGGGGCTGGGGATTTAGCTCAGCGGCAAAGCGCCTGCCTGGCAAGCGCAAGGTCGTGAGTTCGGTTCCTGGTACCGGAGAAAAACCAAAAAAAAAAAAAAAAAAAAAAAACTAGACTGTGTAGGACATGGAACTTTTGATAATTGCCACTTTGTTAGTGAGGTGCCAACTTTCACGAGGACGCATGTTTGAGTGGAGTGCGTGCAGGCAACTCTATGCCTAAGGGATTCAAGAAGATAAGGAGCACATGCCACTGAAGACGACAGCTTTCCGACCCAGACTGGCTTGGGTGCATGTGAGGTCAGGACATTCTGACCATCACTGGGAAGTTTATGTGACTGCAATGTCAACCTTTAAAGAGATGATGGTGTTGCACTGCTGGGTCTAAAAAAGGTGAGGCCATGCCCCTTTCGAAAGGATGAAGACACTCTAGGGGCTCTGCTCCAGCCTGCTGTCACCCGAGGAATAGGTATATTCTCCAAACCAAAAGTAAATGTGGGAGGGAGCAAAAATTGGGAGACAGAGTGAAGCTTCCCAGGACCATCAGGACAATAGGAGGGGATAGATGCTATAGGCAGGCATTCCCAAGCGCTGATGACCAGCCGGGGGGAAAAAGGGACCCAGCCAAAGTCTTACTTTGAGGTTTCATGAGAGGAGGGAACTGCCAATTGCCTGAGGTCCAATTAGCCAAGATAAGGCCTGTGCTTTTTAAATCAGGCTGTTTATATTTCATGTACTCTCTCTCTCTCTCTCTGTTTATTTCTCTTTTGTTCTTTCTCTGTGTTTGGAAGTGTTAGAACTTCCACCCTGTCTTAGCTATATTCAGAGTGCCAAGGGCAGCCTTCTGTCCAGGCTTGGGATTGATGAGATTAAGGGGAGGGAGGGAGCACGGTGGCTTGACAAACAAGAGCAGAGGACCCTACGACGGAGGTGAAATGTAAGAACAAGGTCCAGCTGTTTGGGGTAGGAACTGTGCTTTCATCTTGAAGGTCTGCCATTCGGGGAGGTGGTGCACCCCAGCACAGGCTTATTCTCCGTGGGGACGCATTTTTCCCAGTCCTCCTTGATGGCTCTTCCCTTAAATAATGGGGTTGACGTAGCAGGTTGAGACCCCTTCCTCTGGTTGAATTTTCCCCAACGGGGCTCTGTGGATGGCTTCTTCATGTTTTCAGCCATATCCACCTTGCTTTTGATCTTCAGTTTATTACTTTACTCATTGCATGGGAGTGATTTCCAGACTTTGCCAGCAAGGAGGCACGGACACATACCCCTTTCCATGCCCAGCAGCTGGTTAGATAATTAATCATTTTGCCTAGATCTGCCAGGCACCCCAAGATAGCCTGGGGACCTAAAAACAGATTTTAATGAAGTGTTCCAAGGTTGTTATAACTATACTTTTCAAAATCAAAATTCAAAATTTGTGGTTTGAATGTACAAATACAGACAACAGAAAAGAATGTATGAAATTAGTGCCACCCTGAGAATCCAGAGTGTTGATGTGATATGTACAGGGCAGAGTATAGCTCTTCTGAGAGCACCAGTGCATTCTGTCCCTAAGCACATATTTCTATGGGATAACCCCGGCCTAGTGGGGCAGAGACCTCATTACATGGAACATCCTGGCACTAGAGGAGGTTATTTCTATTATTTTGTACGCTAAAGGCTAGGAGGGGCTACAAGTGGGACAAGATGTGAGATACGTTCCATCTGTGCCTACATGTTATATTTCCTCCCCTGATGTAGAGAAAAACACACTTTAAATAGATAGTAGTTTTTAAAGAAACACACAAGTATTTTCAATCTGAAGTGCAGCTACTATGCAGATGTCCAGGCTTGTATGGCCAGCATGGAAGGGGCCTGTTGGAGGCTCACCTTTGCCACTGGGCTTAGTTTACTCCAACCCCATGTGTTTCCTGTGCCACTATTCTTGCTTTTGTAAGAAATGCTCTCTGGGGCTTCAGGCCAGCAGGCTTGGTCTTGGCTCTTTCACGAGGTGCTGGGAAATGAGCTGACCATGGCCGGGATGGGAGGGAGCCTGCTATCCTTCACTCTTTGTCAGCTCCTTAGAGCTCTTAATTGCTGTCTGCCCTGCCTACCACCACATCTGACCCTCAACTCTCGCAAACATCCCATCATTAACTCTTTTGATTCTTGATTTCCACTGCCTCCTCCCCCACTCGTGGGTCCTCTTGGTTTCTCTTGGCCACTTATTTGGGCCCCAGACTCACTGCTTCCCTGGGCCAGCATTTCCAGACATTTTGTGCAGTTTAATAATTAAATAAACTTTAACTCATTTCAGCAATGTAAAGGGCTCCACATGCAGGCTTCCCACCTGCTTCTCTGGTCCTTTTCCTCTTCCTCAGTTTCTTCCACCTCTTCAGGTTCCTCAGGACTTTCACTCTTCTGTTCTTCCTCCTCCTCCTTCAGGTCTTGAAGTTCTTTGGTCTTTTTTAAACCTTCCTGATATCTGGAGGGCAAAAAGGGAACAAATGTGTCTGAAAGGGTCAGTTGTGGAGCATCTCTTCCTGAATTCCTAGAGGAGGGGACTTGAGCACCTCCAATAATGACGCACTTCCTGTGGTCCCACACAACAGGAAAAAGCTGGGAAGCTCCGTTGAACCCCTACCCAGCCCATGTCAGTACAATTTCCCTTCACTCCCCAGTCATCCTTCCTGTTTATGTGACAGTGTGACACACTGACAGGGGAAAAATGTGGAATAGGGTCTCCTGACTGGGTTCTTATTCTATAAAACATTCTGTAGAGATAAGATTGCATTTAGCTTCTGTATAACCTTGGAGCTTTAGCTTTGCTTTTGTAAAATAGAGAGGGTCACCGCTCTCTCACAGGGAACTGGGATGTTTTTTGGAAGTGCCAGAGCTCAACCTAGAAAGGTACTCAGTAGATGTTCACAAAGCCAGTAGAGGAGTTTGACCTCTGTGTGTTCTGTGGACAACACCTCTTTCCAAGAGACACCCTTCTGATTTCCTTCTTTCTGGATTAGTCTTACCCTAACATACCTTATTGTCCTACAGCAGGATGTTTAACTCCACTTTGGCTGGACCAACCCCATCACTGAGTTTGCCACAAAGAAGCTCCCCAGGTTCTGATTGGCAGGAAGCTGCATCTCTCTCAGGAGCCATGGGGATGTCGCAAAAGGTGGGAGGTGATTCCCTACCTTGAGGCCTGTGGCCGGGCCCCTGTTCAGTGCAGTCTCTGGCAACTGGCAGCTGGCCCTTACGTGCTACCGAAGTTCAATTAGACAAAGGACTTTAGTTTATAGGAGGAAGGCATGTCCAGGGCAGTTCTAGGAAGCAGAGCTGCAGCTGCCTGTGGGCACTGTTGGCAGCAATGTGACCACATTGCACACGTGTCAGGAAGCCTCAGGCACCGCCAAGAGGAACCTACCCTGGGCCCCTGATTTCCAGACCGTGCTGGGTAGTGGTGTTCTTGTGGCTTTGAGCCTAAAAGAGCCCAGTCTAATTATTGTCTAACCACACCCTGTGACCCTGCTTCCTTTTGTCCTTCCTGTGGAACAGTCTCACTCTTTCCTCTGTAGTTCTTTCCTGACACAAGGAGGCCCCAGGGCTACTGGTTGCTGCCCTAAAGCTTCTAAGAAGCAGGACAGGGCGTGGGAAGGTGTCTTCTGAAACCTGCTAGGTGCCCTCGGGTGGCCGAGGTCTGACTCACCCCTTGTTGTAGGCTTCTTCCTCCATCCTGCCCTTGGCCTCTTGGCTGACCTTCTCGCGGCAGCCGGGAGGCGGCACAGGAGCAGGGGCGTCGCATTCTGGCTCCCCATTTGTCTTTCCACTAGGGAGAAGAGGGAAGCAATGGGCATCACTTCAGAGAGAGGCTGGGTGATCGCAAACAAAACCATCTTTTGCCTGATTCCTGATTAGAAGTGAGGAAATTCACACTTTTCAGCAGCTTCCAGACTTCTAAAAATCTTTTCAGCCTGAGACAAGATTTTATAAAGCCCTATTTCATGAATCCTGCCTAGACCACAGTACTGCACCGTGTCCCTTCTCCTCATGTCCCCGAATCTGCTTTTATTCTTGTTCCCGGAGGTGCTGTGAGTGGACCAATATTAAGAGCTGAGAAAAGGAAAGTGAGGGCAGCCCACAAAATTCTGGGTCATCCCATTCCTAGTCTACCAGAATGTCCACTCATCTGTCAAATAGCTACGGAGTTTAGCCAAGTCACAGGCACATTACGATGTACTGGGGACACATCAGGAAATAAGAAAAAAATTTTTTTGCCAATGTGGAGCTTAGCAGAAGGGAATGTCCTTCCCAAGGGGAGGGAACAAAAAAGTGTAATTGCAGATTATAACACTTATGAAAGAACTATTCAGGGACAGCAAATCATAAGCAGAGAATGTGTTGAGGGTGAATGGTCAAGAACCCTCTCTGAGGGGCTGAGATTAAAGCACAGATTTGAAAGATGAAGGGTCAGCCTTATGCAGGGCACACAAAAATCACCCTGGCTGGAGGATGCATGGCACATTAAAACTAAAGACACAAGGGCCGGGGATATAGCTCAGCAGCACAAGTGCCTGTCTGGCAAGCACAAGGTCCTGAGTTCGATTCCCAGTACAAAAAAAAACAAAAAAAAAAAAACACAAAAAACACAAAAAACAACTAGAGGCACAAAAAGCACCGAGATGTCTGAGGAGCTGAAAAGAGTCAGTGTGGCAGGGACTAACTTTTGGACAATGCGCATGAGGTGTCCAGGCAGAGATGCCAAGTGAAAAGTTGGACATGCCAAAGTGAGGCAGAGAATTGCTCTGGCTAGAGATACTCATGACTGATTGTCTAGGGGACAACATAAGGAAAGAGAAGAGGATCCAGGACCAATCCCTGGATATCTCTTTGCTCAGATGAAAAAGGAGGAGCCTACAAAGAAGGCTGAGAAGTAACAGCCAGAGAGGTAGGAGGACAACAGGAGAACACGGAACTTTGGGAGCCGGGA